GCTGTGATAAGTACAAAACCAATAAAAGCCGCCCTTAGAGTGCTAAGCAGCAAGAGATAGTCCACCGTCAGGTGATTGTGTTGACAGAGGCAACGCCGTCCTTGGAAATGGTCGAGCCGCTCGCAGAAACCTGAGGGCTATTCGCAGCAGCAGCAACAGCAGTAGCAATGCCCTGGTCGTCATGCGAGACCACAGCAGCCGCTTGCTTTTTGCTCTCGGCCGCCGCAACCGCCCCCTGAGAACCATTAGAGCCATCCTTACTCACCTCCTTCCTCCCAGCGACCACCACGCCCGCGGCGTCAGCGCACAGGCGCGCTATGCTCGGCGGCGCCAGGATCCTCATGACGGGCACGTCCTACCCCGCGGCCTTGTAGGTCCACACCCGAATCTCGACGGCCATGAGCGAGTCGACGCCCAGGTCCGAGGCGCTGCAGCCCAGGAGCGGGGCCGCCGCTCCGCTCTCCGGCAGCTGCAGCATGGAGATATCGGCCCGTGGGCAGTGCTTCCTCCTGTTCGAGTCGCTTCCCGTAGTATTGAAGGATGGAGTACCACAGAGTCAGGGCCTTGTAGTAGCAGTTGCTATCAGTTATTGTATTCCGTACTGAGGGGCCGCCGATCCAGCGGGGAAATTGAATTTTGACGAAACTTTTGTTCCCCCACTGTAGGACCAGCGATGATGCAATGATAGAACCGACATGTTTGACATCCTACCGGGAGCCGACCACATCCAGTCAGGGCTCGTTTCCGCCCCGGCCCCCCCGCGCATTACCCGAGAGCATGGTGAAAACTTCAGCCAGTTCACCCTCGCCCCCCGCCTGCACCGAAAAAGCCTCGGAACCTGCATAATATGACTGCGTGTGCTTGTGATATGGCCTGCCAGGAGCTAGAGGGTTGGCCGAGCAGCGCAGTGGGGGGAGCGTGTCCGGCGGTCGCACCGCGACGGCATCTGAATCTTCAACCCGCTGTCCGTCGCCCGACCCCCGAACTCGGACACCGCCAGGGACGACCTCGCGCAGCAGGACGCCAGCGCCCGGGCCTGGCTCCGGCCGATTAGAGACAGGTGACGCAGAGCCTAACAGGTGGGTTGGTGAATGCAGATTTTGGAAACAAACAGATGACGACCGTTCAAAGTATGAGTCACCACCTGCGGCAGCCTGGCTGGTACGGGACGCCTTGCAGCGGGTTTCTCAATGCCCCAGGCCTGGCCCAATAATTATTCCTGTTCAGAAGTAAGTAGGCACGAGAAGGTGTGAAACATATGCATGCACTCACATTTGACACCATAGGCACACTGCTGCCTATTGTGTGAAATGGGTTTGCACGCGAAATCCCTCCTATTCACGGGGGACAAACCCTTTGAGAGAGGAAATTCCGGCATCCCCCGCACTCGCGATGAAAATACGACACGACTGCTGAGACATTCGGCAAAAGAAAGCAGATAATAAAAAGGTACCATCCCCTGGTTATCGCTTGATCCTCCAACTTTTCTTTGATCACTCAACTCAATCTCAAGAACCATTCCAAACAAGAGGAAAAGTTAACCCGCAACCCGACCTTATCCTGCAGGGCATAACTACAAGGTGATACACTACCCTGGATGACGGCCCGACGATGCGGGGCTGGTCAAAGCCCCCGAAGACGGCTCCACCTGGCTGGCCTTGACGCGGCGCTGCTCGCGCTCGCGGCGGGTGACGCATCTGAAGCCGGGCTGGCTGCATTCCGCCTTCTCCTCGGGGGTCAGGATGGCGCGGGGCTGGGCGGCCGCGGCGGGGGCAACGTCGCGCTTGGCGCCACAGACGTTACCCGGTCTGCGGCAAATATCATCCAGGTCGGCGTTCCTATCGAGCGTCGGGTTCTGGGGCTGAGGCTGAGGCTGCGGCTGCGGCTCCCGCTTATCGATGCGAGAGAGGAGAGGTGTAAGGGCAGGGGGGTCAGGTTTATTGTTTTTCTTTTTGTTTTTGAGTCACTCTAAAAAGGCGGATGACGCGTAGCCCCGTCTGCGGGTTGGGTGCTTGTAGCTGCGGGGTTGGGTAAAAAAGAGAGAATAAAAAGACGGAGCGTGAACTAAATACCAGCCAAACAGCTGCATGTACCTAGGACAGGCTGGTAGAGATTTCACGGCTTGCTACGCATACGGGCTTTTGACAGTAAGACAGCTGGAAAGGAGGGTGGCGATAGGACGACACGATACGGGGAAGCAACGCATGCGATTTGCCAAAGCTACGACGCCCACATGCGCGCGTCGTGCCCTGGATGCGAGCCATATGCCTGAATTCGTTGCCGCCTTTTAAAAAGGGTTCCATTTCCAGTCTCCGTGTGGGGGGACTTTTAATCCATAACTATCGCCGGCTTTGGGAGCTTCGCACTCT